TCCAGATGTCTCTATAAAATTGTCTGGAAATAGTTTTGCTAGCAATAAAATGATAAAATCAGCACCTAGAGATCCTGCATTCACTCACTAAAATAATAGACCCACCAGTGGGTTGCAAGAACAACTAGAACAAGTTCTTGAATTTTCACATTTTTAAAATATTTATATAGCCTGCTCCTGTATTTCGCTTGTAATCTGATTTTCCTAGCGAGACAAGCTTTAATTGAGGTTGCATTGAGGGCAATGGTGCCCTGGATTGAACTGCAGATGACAAAGGCTCTGGCTGTTCGCAGTGACAATGAGAGCTGAGCAAGGTTTTGTCCAGTGAGAGCATCTCTTCAGAAGGCAGCTGTGCTCTGCCTGCTTGAGAGTCTTTTTAGGGTTAATAACTCGTAATACTCTTGCCAGGAAATGTGGAATTAATAAGGTGGTTCAGAAAAGGGGAAATTAGTGGAAGATGCTCAAATGTAACTAAACTCCACCCTTTTTTCCCGTGACAGTTTAAATATTCAACCCTGCAAATTTTATTTGGTGCTGTATAAAATTCCAAAAGATAAACTCTTAATGAGATAAAACTGCTCTATGACAAAATTGAGATCGAGAAACACTTACCTAGTTTTACTTCCCGTAATAAGGTTAATATTATTGCTGATGATAATTTGTACTCGGTACTGTGCAGCTTGTTTAATCCTAGCTACCTTTAGTTACCTTTAATGATCAAAAAGCTCGAATGAATTTGACATCCAGGTCAGGTTCCTTGTAACAGACCTTATACCATCACACCAGCTGTTACACAAATATCCCCTGATTGCCTCTATACCTGCACATGAACTGGTCATTTTTATAATTTGTGCCCAGTTATTTGACGGCCCTCTGCATCACTCTTTGCAGTAGAAAGGAACTTCGCAACAGTCCTAGCGTGGTGTCTACTAAGGGGCTGTTCAAGACGAATTCACATGGTATATCGAACATGTGAAGGGGCTTGGAAGCCTGAGACTGCAAACATGAGGGCTAGAGAACAGTGGAGGCAGCTTTAATAAAAAAACGAATCCAGCTCACTGTTTAGGACATCCAGCCAACCCGCAGCGGGCCTATTTAAAAACTCTATCCTGCCTGTGCAAGTGCACGAGACGGCAACAATTCATTTGTCACCCTTGTATAACTGAAGACATAGCGCTTCCTCGATCTGATCACTCAGAGGAAATCCGAGGTGCTGCTGTTGGACCAGCAGGCCGCTGCCTTGCTGTACAGTGGGGCTGCTGGCGCATAATGGCTGCCGCATGCCAGCCAGGTGGGTGTAGCTCTTCAGTGGGGGATGAAGTGAATTCCATCTTCTACGTAAAGCGCTTTGGGGTCCATCAGGATGAAAAGAGCTGGAGAAATAGAGGCTGTCAATTTTATTGTTATTATTACCGACCATTGCATTTAATTGAGGTAAATTACGTAGTTATCGCACTCCTTTAGAGAAATCGATGGATTATTGTATGGACATGTTTTAACTATTTCTGTGTCTGGCTGGCTAAGTTCATTTTATTCTGAGTTTTTATTAAACTAGATTTTGTTATTTGTAAAGATAAACACTGATACCAAATTCCTGCAACAGATACAAAAATGTCTGAGCTCGATGTGGAATTTGACAACTTGCTATCGTTTCTAGGATTGTACTGTCTCTATTTGCTGTAATAGGTTCTTTGGTACATTGTTATTCAGTTAAATAAAAATGGTTTTATTCACCATTATTGCTTTTTCGTGGTCTTTATAGTTAAATATTCCAGTATCACTTTGCAGTGTTTTAGCAAAGAGCAGGTATTAAGTAATGCTCCAGTGTGCCAAGCTCCCTGTGATAACACACAAAATACTTTGGGCCTGAAAAGAGCATTATAACTAGGTTAAGATGTACTTGATTTCCTAATTATGAAATTGGGGCATTCTACATCGAGTATTGCAGTATTGCCATATTTTCTTATGAAATATTGTGACATTTAAAAAAGCTTTATGAAACCAGTGATATATTAGTCAGTCATTGTACATTTACTGCTGTGAAAATCGCAACATTTTTGAAAGGATTCTATTAGAATTAGAATTGCCTTTCAGGTGGAAAAAATTGATACATTTCAAGAGAATGTCATAAGTCAGTCAGAGAGCGTATGTATGGTAATACTGAGCAATGACTAAGGTCAGCAGTGGATTAGTATGTTAATTTTTCCGCTAAACAAATTTAAAAATATTCTAAGGAATAGAATATGAGTTATTAAAAATATATTTTTATACAAATATACTGGAGTTTTTCCTTTCAGTTTTTAGCATTTTGGCAGAATTCTTCTGTTACGATTGAACTTTTGCGTAGAATTATTCTTTCACTTTTAAAAATAGCGTGACCTCAGTGACAGTTTTGGATGTGCAGTATCAGCTTGATAAAGAAATGTGCCGAGTGCTGTTGGCTAAGCAGTTTTTTCAATCTCTGATGTTTCCTTGGCAGTGGACCTCTTAAATCGTGTGCTCAATTGGTTCACTGTGATTATCGCACGGTACACGGGATACTATCCTGTGTCTTCTTGGTTTTTATTTCATCATAATAAAACGGTCCTTCAGCACATAAAAGCACAAGTAGCCTTTATTTTCTGAATTCACACTTTTTTTAACTGATTTTTTTTTTCACTGAAACAATCTTTTGGGGGGAAAAAAAGAAAAATGTGGATGGAATATTCTACTTTTTTGTATTCTCGGAGTTGCTTCAGACTCTAGGCTCAGTAATAACTGGGAGGTTGTGGGTTCATGTTAGAGCCCTGCAGGGGCACTAGGATTCCTCAGGACATAACCTGATTGGTGAGTGGGCATGGGGCATTTTGTCTGTGTTGCAGACAGGCATGGGGCATTTTGTCTGTGTTGCAGACAGGCATGGGGCATTTTGTCTGTGTTGCAAGTGGGCGTGCATTTAAGTGTATATTAAATATGTAAAATTCCTAATTAGCAGTTTCATGTGCTTTTTGGTTAGATTTACCTACAATTCTGTAGTAGCCAATATCATTCCCGTATTATTAATCAGAGTAAGAGTGAAGGGCTGGTCCTGTAGGATTTGAAATATGCTACTGTGTGAGGAGTCACAATTTCTTGCAGGAGCGTTGGGATTGAGTTAGAGAAAATAGTCCTGCTCAGGGCTGTAGTTCACATTCCTGCTGCTGCATTGCTCTTTGTACCCTTTGAGTAATTGTTAGGTCTGTTAATGTAATTTTTATCCAAGCCCACAACTAAATAATTATTCTGCCAACGATGATTCATAGTGCCTGTACAGAATACAAGTTCAGTTTTTTCAAATATGATCAATTGTTTTGCCTGGTCATTAGGCCTAAATCTGACCCTTAGTAATTATTACTTGTGCTGGTATTTTCCTTGGGTCAGTACGCAGTGAGTCCTGTGTGGATTGCTTAAACCACACAATCAATTAATACAGAAAATACACCTGATCTTTCTCGTAGAGTGGAGGGCATCAAGTTAAACACAAGGTTGATATAGACTTGGGTAAATACAGTAATCGCATATAAGATGGGTGGAAACGACCATGCACAGATTTATATTGAAATAATGTTTATTAGGAAGATGGGATGCATCCTAGTAACTTTGTGCTAGAAATGCTCCGAAATTGGCCACTGGCATAAAGGAATGGTAGAGGAACCACGTACAGAAACAAACTCCTTAGCTGGGAATGCATGTGCATCATCTTTGTGGGGGTTTTGCTGCTGTTGGTCTTCACTGCATACCTTTCAAAGCACTGTGTAACAGCACATGGAGTGCTTAATTTTTTATTTTTGAGTGGTGCTATCTTTACTATGCATCTCTATCTCTTAAGTATTGAGTAATAAGGACTGACTGCTTGTACTCAGGTGACTGTATATTTATATAATTGTTGGGAATTATTTAACTCAAATGCGAAGAAAAGTTATATCAGTGCCCTCATTATTAGGAGCACATTTATAAGTGGTTCATACTTTGCAGTGCAGATTTGAATCTTAAGCAAGGTCAGCCAGTTTAGTTTTAGTGCATCTTTGATTGGCAACCCTTGTGTGTGCGTTTGCAGTCCTATTCCGAGCATGGGCTCTGCACTGGAGAGTTCCAGTAAGTGAGCTTAGAAGAGTGCCTGCACAGGACAAGATAATAATTATTATAATAATAATTGCTTACACTTATGTAGCACCACTCAAAACGCTTTACAGGCAATGGGGACTCCCCTCCACCACCACCAATGTGCAGCATCCACCTGGATGATGCGACAGCAGCCATAGTGCACCAGAACGCTCACCACACTCCAGCTATCAGTGGGGAGAAGAGCAGAGTAATGAAGCCAATTAAGAGGCCATGATTGGGAATAGCCATTGGGAGATTTGGCCAGGACACCAAGGTTCCACCCCTACTCTTTTCAAGAAAAGCCTTGGGATTTTTAATGACCACAGAGAGTCAGGACCTCGGTTTTGCATCTCATCCGAAGGACAGCGCCTTTTTACAGTTAAGTGTCCCCATCACTATACTGGGGCATTAGGACCCACGCAGACCACAGGGTGAGAGCCCCCTCCAAGCCCTACTAACACCTCATCCAGCTGAACCATCAGTTTTTCCCAGGAGGTCTCCCATCCAGGTACAGACCAGGCTCACACCTGCTGAGCTTCAGTGAGTAGCCAGTTGTAAGTTGCAGGGTTTTTTGGCTGCTGGCTGTGATGCCATGTTCAGTAGCATCCCTGTCAGATGTCCATGACATAGCACTGTCTTTCAGTTTTTGTTTGTTTTTTGTTTCTTGTTTCATGTTGAATTAACATAAAACTTTTTTTCTCCTTCGGATAGATGACCATGGGCAGAGGCAACAGAACCCCATTGTTTCTTTTTATTTTACCTTGTGAACTGATTCATTTTCATCCAAAACAATTGGATTGTTTTTTTTTGTCTCAGAACCACCTTTAAATGTTTATCTGTGTAAACGTCTGGTAAATTTCTCCTGTTTTTTTTTGTAGGTATGGAACATCAAACAGATGATAAAATTAACACAGGAGCACTTAGAAGCACTGCTTGACAAGTTTGGAGGAGAACATAACCCCCCATCAATATACTTGGAGGTGAGTTAACAATAAGCAAAACTCAAATTAATTTGATGTGCATTGTGACAGTGTTATTTGTTCAGGATTTTTTTTCTCCGTAAAGATAAAAATACTCTGCATTAAATCTAGGAAAACAATACACGCCAATACATGATTTTTAAAAAACTAATAGCCATTTATTTTGGGGTGTGACCTAGCAATGTAAGTGTGTTTAGTAGATTATGTTGTACTAGTTGTATTATATAGTTTGGTTGTAAACATAAGAATGGGTCACTTTTGTCATGGCTGCTATACTGGATTAAAATAAATTAATATCCAGCTTTGCTGTCCTTTATTTTTCTCTTGGAATTGCTCTACCCATAAATTCAGATTTTAATGGATATTATCCTATTGCATAACACAGTGTCAACACCTCATGATGCAAATCCCGACCTTCAGTGGTTAAAATCGGTAACACCCCAGTTCTTTCTAAAGGTGCCACTCACAGGGTATCTGCTGAAAGTGTAATCTGGCAAGAGGCGTGTTTGAACCCACCTCAAAGGCTCAAAGGCCAGGTGTCGAGAAAGGAGAGCAATCCAGTTCTAATCGCTATATTAGGAGAAGAAGAAGAAGAAGGCTAAAAACATTCCAGCATGTCCAGTCAGGCTTGCAGGTCAAGTCTTAATGTGCCCCAAGCCAGAATGTTATGTATTTTATGTACTCTAAGTGTAAGTGTGAAATACAAAAGGAGAGAAATAAAACCACATTACCACATAATTTTGGCAGAAAATCAAAAATATCATCATACGGTAGTTTAACAATGCCTTTTGGGAGGAAGTTGAAGTCGGAGTTCATAATATTTTTTCTTATTTGTTTTTTACTCTACACGCCATATTGTTAAGAACATGGTTCTTTCATTGGCTGCTTTTGCATTATTCACTGCGTGCGCAGACAGGTAAATGTGGGGATAAATGTTTTAATTGTGATTTATAAATGACTACTGGCTAATGAAAGTTAGTCATGTACAGTTCTTAAAGACAACACTAGTAACATGCTGGTTGTGTCTGTATAGTATATTGCTGTATTTTGTTTTTTCAGAGGGTGGCAGGCACAATCAGAGAGATTTCTTACATGAACGCTCTTCCTACCTGCCTCTGTCTTGCTGCACATTAGTGTGTAGGACAAGACAAGCCACAGTGAATAACACGAGATGCTTTAATTTGCCTTTTTGCTTTTTGAAACCAATGGAAACACGATTCTTCACTGAACATCCGAACATAAAAAACCCTGCCTGCCGCAGCCCTACAAACAGTAGATCACATGAACAGCTTACTTTCTTTTCTGAGGCACGGGGAAAAAATAAGACTCCTGCCTTAAGTATGTAGGCCATATTTCGACGTGCCCAGAGAATTGTTTTTACGCGCCTCAGGCACGGGCAGGGTGATAATGGTTTTGAACATTAATGTAGAAGCTTAAACTAATGATCGGCACTTGTGTTCAGTATTCAAACTGAGGCTTAGCTATCTCGCGACTCTCCACAGGCAGTCCTGTATGCTCTTCCTCTTCTCCTTTATAGGCCTATGAAGAGTACACCAGTAAGCTGGACGCCCTACAACAGAGAGAACAGCAGCTACTGGAGGCCATAGGGAATGGCACAGAGTTCTCTTGCTCTTCTCCAACACCCAGCCTCTTGGATGTCAAGCTCCCCGGTGGCCAGGGATTTCCTGTGGCACCTACCACACTCGCTGTCCTGCAGACCCCCACAGATGCTTCCCGCAATAACCCCAAATCACCTCAGAAACCGATTGTCCGGGTCTTCTTGCCCAACAAGCAGAGAACTGTGGTGAGTTGAAGTGAGGGCATGAACTGCAACGAGAGTGACATAGATGTTTTCTGTGTTGTCCAACATGAACGAACGGGTTTTGAAACCGTTTTCAAATCGGGCTGGTGATATGTTAGATATTATTTTTCTGTTTGCATGTAATGATCAAAAGCAGTGTCTTTCTAGCTTTTCTTGCTGGTGTGTTGTTGTTATGCCACAAAAGAGGAATCGTGAAAAGATTTTTCCAAATGTTTAGGATCTGCTGCTATATAAAATCTTTTTCATTACACCCACGTCCTAGGTACTGTTTTCTTCAGAAGGATCCATAGTACTTTATAACTTGTCTTTCTTGAGGCTCAGAGTGCAGAGTATAGGGCAGTCAGCCCCCGTGTGAAAGGTTCCTTTGCAGCTGCCTGTGATCCTGTGTCTTCCCTAACAGAGGTACCGTCTTCCAAGCTTGACGTCCTCTCTTGTTTTATTTCTGCTTTCCTATACCCACAGGTCCCAGCCCGCTGTGGCATGACAGTGCGAGACTCTCTGAAGAAAGCCCTGATGATGAGAGGCTTAATTCCAGAGTGCTGTGCAGTGTACAGAATACAAGACGGGTAATAATATGTTCCTGCATATATATCTGTTAATTTTTAAACTGCTGTTAACCACTCTTTATTAATAACCTTATGCAGGGGTTTCTGCAGGAAGGGTGCTTAAGGTCACTATTTATTTTAGTCAGTGGGAGAAAAAGGCACTCATACGGATAAATAACAAATGTGTGCAACTTTTTCTTACTCCTCTTCAGAGAAAAGAAACCAATTGGCTGGGACACCGATATTTCCTGGCTGACCGGGGAAGAGCTACATGTAGAGGTTTTAGAAAATGTTCCACTGACAACACACAACTTTGTAAGTATGAACACGCCATGAGCTAGCCTATTCCTTTCTCATTTTTGCTCAAAGTTTGGAATTTTCAATTATGTTTTTATTATATGTCACACATTTGGGAATCGCCATTGTTTTTTTAGACTCCTTTCAGAACATCTTCACAGGGACAAGAAAGACTTGTGTACTGTCTCCTCTGACACTGTTAGATGGTCACGTCCATTCACGGTGCCTTACTGGAGTTAACACTGTAGAACTAATTCGGTCTCTCAGAAAACTGAGGTGATCCTGGCAAGATAGTGACTGCCCTACCCTAGCCGCATTCTTTCATTTGTGTGCCATTGCCCTGGAAGTGGCGTTCGGCTTGTGATGCGACCCATGCTTGAACCTGGGACCAGCAGTTCACAGGGCTTGATCCGCACTCTGTGCAAGAGCCCTTATTGTTTGAGCCAATCCAGTGCCCAAGATGATAAATTTATGCTGAGTGCAGTCCTCTAATCAGTAAAATCTATAGAACAGGATAGGTATCATCAAACAGATGGGATTGACTAAAAATGCTAATTTACTCTTTCTATAGGTATACTAAGAATAATCTTTTTTTAATGTGTTCTTGTTGCTTTAATAATTGATTAGTCTATAATTTGTTTTTCTGAATATTTTCTTTTACATCTCTGATTTCCTGTAAATCATGACACTGCGCTACGTGACGTTGGATGGCGCCTGCAATTGAATATGCGCCTTACGTATGTTTGTGCGCTGTTTCAGGTGCGCAAGACCTTCTTCACCCTGGCTTTCTGCGATTTCTGCCGAAAGCTCCTGTTCCAGGGTTTCCGCTGTCAGACCTGTGGGTACAAGTTTCACCAGCGCTGCAGCACAGAAGTGCCTCTCATGTGTGTCAACTATGACCAGCTGGAGTGAGTACACACCTGGACTCGTGGGCTGAGGCTCAGGGAGAGAGACGTAGTGCAGTTTTTACTCACTGGCACTGTGTGTCACTGGAACCCATTTCTTTCTTTACAGTTTTCAATGCAACGACCCGCAAGATTTATAAAACACAGAGATGCCTTACGATATAAAAGGAACGTGCACGGGTTCTTTTCCTTGGAAGTAAACAAGCTCAAATGACCAATTTTACCAAATTACCAAATTACACGTCAACATAACTGTTCATTCTTCTTTATTGTAAGCATTATTTTTCCATCGCTTCCCAGTTAGCCATTTCCTCTTTTATAATTCAGTACAGTATTTGATGTCTTAGTGCATTGAAATCGATTTTTTGAATATACAGTTTACTACTTTACAAAAAGGAATAATTAAAAAGTCCCTTTTCAAATTATTCAGACGAATTAAAAAAGGAATTCAGATATTGTAAATGAAGTCTGACTTCACACATATCCTTCGCAATTGTACATCATCCCTAGTCTGAGGAGAAGCAAATGTCATTGTGCTTGTGAAACAAGTCCCTCAATATCCCTTATACACATTTAAACACAAAATATTTAATTGTCAGGGTGCGTAATCATATTGGAAACTTCGGGCTCATATTGAAGGACTACCAGAATAATCCTGACCTCTGCGATCAATTTTGACAGCCATGTTATAAAATAATTTTGCTGTTCTGGAAACACTCTGGAGCAACAGCCACATACAATCCCAGGCTTGAAGTAATGTCCAAGTCTGCGAACACGACCCAGTTCAGAGTCAGTAGTGAATCACAAACCAGGTGACATAAGTGAAACCTTCATGAAAGTACATGTAAACTGAGAAAAGAGGCACATTTTTTGAATAAAGGCTTATGGGATTTTGGAACATGCAACCCAACTTCATTGAAGCGGTTAACTTGGCTTTTTAAAAAAAATGCTGGATCAGATCCTTAAAGCAATTAACTATTTAATTGTAGCAGCGAGACAAGCTGTACCATTCTGCAAATATTTTAAATTCCAGAGAAGCAATATAATAAGTTAAAGTTATGTGTCATATGAGTAGCAATAATTTGCTCAAGTCTTGACTAATGTTTTCTACCATGTGACATACAAGACTAATTAAAACAGATGTGTGAGGGTGAGAAGAAACCAAGCTTGTTTTTTAGCAGTCTTTAATTCTGTAAACTAAATGTTGTGTTTTTGCGTTTTCAGTATTTTTTCACAACATAGCCTTCTTTAAAAGACAGTTAGCTGTTTTTGTGACTTCACTCAATCCCAGTTTAAGATTTGCTTATTGCCCCTTTATCATTGCTAACTATGATTATTTAAAATATTGTCATTATGGTTATTGTAAGCTACATGTAGTTTAACACCTGCAGAAAATAAATGTGCAAACATGAACGTATCAGTTGGGGCAACTACAAGACTGGCATGCTTGTCAAACAGGATCTGAGATTAGGGATCAGTAACACGTGTAAATTGTACTTGAAAGATTGATGAGGCAAAACTTTCAGTAGCAAGTTGAGTGCAAAACAGTTTTCCATGCTTTGTAATTAGCAGCTGTTTTTAAATGAAAAATTAATCATCCAAAAATAAGTATAATGGGTGTGTCATGTTTTAAAACACCGAAACCACAGAAGCATTGACTATGCATCGCTTGCCAATAAGAAAGTAGCTAAGACATCACATTTACTTTTATAGGGGAAGGACACTTAAAACTAACATCTCACTTACACAGAAATGGTGTGCCTGAATTAAGTCACAATTCTTATCAATTTAAATTTCTACAGAGCAAACAAAGCTGCTGGTAGTGCCTTTTTTATAAGTGTGCATTGGAAATATGTAATTTGCAAATGCACAATGTGATGTGGTGACATGGTGGCGTACTTTTTACTCGTAGCAGTTGCTTGATATTTCTTTTTTTTGTGTGCAGTATTTCCTAAAGAAATAATCTGTTCACATAAGAGTTTTCAAAAAAAGTGTAGCGTGATATATGGTAATTTTGCCCAAATAGTTCCATATACTATGTAAGGTTTATGTCAGATCTCTAAAAAACTATATTTTGAGTTAGATATGCCCTAGAACCTTTGAAAACCTGATAGGATTTTTATATTTTATTTTGTAATGTAACTGAAACATAGTTTAGATTATCCTAGGCTCAAAAATGTAATGCATGGAAAACAATTCTGTTTTCTCAAACTCCTGTTAATCGGCATCGATGAGTGCATTTCAGACCATAATGAAAGTAAAATGTACATACTAATGTGTAATGTGATTTACATCACAAAATGGGCTAAATTTCCAGGTATGTGCAGTGCCATGTTGCCATCATTGGCTATGATTTAGAACAAGGCAACAAAACGTCCGGAGAGGTGAAGTGGCCCTATTACATTGTAAGCAAGCAAGCTTGTGAATACATTTCTTTTAATCCAATAGAAATATTGCTTTTGATTTTAACACAATTTTGCTGACAAATACTAATTGTTTACTCTGCATGCATATCATGTTGGAACGTTTCTGTGGTGAAATGCCGGCTGCACAACCAGTACTTTCCTGAGTTTGCTGAAATTTGTCCAATACATAATGAAAGCTGTTTTAAAGAGCAACACAATAGTAAAACTAAAAAAGGCATATTAACCTCCTAGACCTAAAGCTACCTGTGCCTTTTTCCCTGCGCAGCCTACTGCTTGTGTCCAAGTTTTTCGAACACCACCCGATCACCCAGGAAGAGGTGTCCTCAGAAGGAACCACACCAGTGTCTGAAGTCGGTCCGTCCCTCCCTCCTTCAGAATCCAGCGGGTAAGACAAAGAAACCTGCGCACAATCATGCTCCTTGCCGGAGTGTCCCAGTACTCACTGCTCACTGGTGAAACCCCCGTGCCTACACTGCCCCTGATAACAGCTTTGCTTCCATCTCGGAAAGAGAAGCTGATGGCGTGACAGCATGTGTTTCAAGGTGTACATGTAAACATTCGTGCCGAAATTTTTCAGTTTGGGTTTCCGTCCGAGATGTTAGGTTATTTGCATTTGCCCATAACCGTTGTGATTTGATGCATAGCAATATTCTAAGATTATGAATGCAGTATGTCGGGTGAGATTTAACTGAAAGATTAACGATGATTTTATTTTCGTATTAAAGTATTCTGTTTTTTAACTGTCCTTTTAATGATACAGGTTGGATGCCTACAGTTGCATTTTTCCAATAGCCTATTAACGCAAATGTGTCCAAAGACATGCTTTATTATTATAGTGCTTCAGGCCTCTTGTAACTGTTATAAGACTACGTGAATCAGAAAGAATGAAATGTATGTGTGTATGTGAACATAAGTGTTCAGCAAGTGCCTTTGTAAGACTTCAGTAAGCACATCAAGGATGGTAAACTCCTTCCTTATTTTATCTTTTTGCAGTTGTGTTAACAATAACTATTCATCTGTAAAGTGATGTTAGTTTTGCCTTTATCTGGATTTTTAAGTGTATCATGCATCTGCTGTAGTTAAAGATAAGAGACCACGGTGTTACTGCTATTTTTATTAGGTTATTTGCTTTTTGAATTGTATGCATTTTGTTACTGCCGTGTTTAAAAAAAGTAATTCCACATATTTAACTGAATTGAGCCTTTTTCCTTTATCAAAGCTGTTGTTTATAGGTGAAATAATAAGTGCATTATGAAGCTTATACCTACCACTAACATTGTATTACTAAAATAATTATCTGTTCTGATTTCTGAACACAGAAGTTTTCTATTTTTGAATACATGTAAAAATATGATTGCTTGGATCTGAAGATTTTTTTCTAAGCCGAAAGGTGAGTCCCTGTTGCTAAACTTAACTTTTTGTTTTCCCTGTGCAAGGTCTCTCTGCCACCCTGCTGCCTCCCCTTCAAAATCCATCCCCATTCCTCAGACTTTCCGTCCAGGAGACGAAGACCATCGGAACCAGTTTGGCCAGAGAGACCGGTCATCTTCTGCTCCCAATGTCCACATTAACACCATCGAACCTGTTAACATTGATGTGAGTCAGTCTTTCTTGTCAGGAATGGAGGAAGGAGGGCAACCTGAATTGACTCTACTGCTATCATGTAGTCATCTGTGGAATTATATCTACATTTTAAGGCCTCAAAACATATTAGCTGGGATTATTTGAGGGAAGGTTGCAAATTAAAGTGAAGTCTGAAATGGAAATGACGTTAGTATGATAAGGACAGAAGAGACGTTATAAGAGAAAGAAGGCCATTTCTACACACTTTGTATTTCTGTGCTTCGTTTAACACAATAGTGGTTTTACAGATAGCAGCGCTGATAACCCCATGGTAGCCCTGCTTCTGAGAAGTACAGAGATTTTTTTTACAGCATGCAGGTGTGTTATGCCTGTGGGTTAAAAGGATATCAATGCCCGACAAAAATGTGGGCTGTCTAAGTACTGAGTACGCATAAATACATTCACTGAGAAGCGTACACTTTGAGATAGGAATGAAACATTACACCATTTTATTGTATTAGCGCATTTTCACGTCATGTAAAACGTGTCTGTCATCTATATCACTAAGAAAGGTTTATACTATTATTAAACCTTTTTTCTGTCCCAAAAATAACCTTCTACTGACTCTTAAAATCACTCAAGGACAATTGAGAGATTCAAAATACTGTTACTGACATCTATAGTAGTTTGTATTATATCCGTCCTATGGTCTGTATTAAGAATTTCATTAATAATATAAAAGATTGGTGTCTTCTGTGCTGGGTTCCTCTCAAGAATTTGTGGCAGAGTATTGTAGCCATCACACGCATGCAGTCTCAGGACTTAGGAATTGGTTGGCTGCAAGACTAAAATGACTTAAGACTAAGATGGGGGGGGGGATTTAGGTCAGCTTGCCTGCATTTGACATTTTCTGCTTGTCAAGCGATCAGTTCGATGTCAAGTCGTCGGGGTCCTCAAGATCTATGCAAATTGATCGGGCAGCAATCAGCACAGCTGGAGATTGGTCATGACCTCATCAGGTGCGGTGGTCTCCCCATGTGTGTGCTCCTCATGGGAAGACCACTCTGGCCCCGTCAGTGCATTTATAACAGGAGACTTCCAGGTGGTATCAGAGTCCAGGTGTGCTTAGTTCCTGGAGCTGTGGATTAAGAGGCATCAATTTGGACACTTGCACTATCACTGGAGGTGTCAAGATAAGCCCAGTTTATTGCGTTCTGGTTTGGCGTTGGAAAGTCTAGACATCTTATATAGAGTCCATCTCCGTAACACTGCTGACCTGGAAGCTTTAAGCAGTTCCTGGGTATAATCAGTTTAAGGCAACAGAAGGATTATTATTATCGTTTAATCCAAAACCTAATCATAGACTTATTGCTACAACACATTTGCTAGAAGACCAAATGTTGACTTTGCATAACTGTTTACGGCAGTCTTCCTTTATATCCACAGTAAGAGACAATATTTCATTTAATGTAATGACATCTAGAAAAACGTGCATGTTGCCGGAAAGACTGTGGTATCTAAATATTTTTATTAACACCTGCAGCTTACGTAAAATTGTCATTATAGTGAGGTACACTAGTTAAGCACTCTCTTTAGAGATCTAAAAATCTTGACATGCTAATTAGTGCTTGTACAGTTTCTGATATGTTTCCAAGGAGTTCTTCATCAAAAAGTGTAGGTTATCCCAGTAATGAGAGTTTCTTCATCATGGTTTTAGGTGTTTTAACTGTGAATAAGATACTTAAAGGAAATGCTTTCACGTTTATAGAAAGGAAAGAAGTAAATTCAAAGAATATATATTTTTTTCATTCTTGTATAAACTTTATGTTCTCTTCTTCTTCATCTAGGAGTTAATTAGAGATCAAGGCTTACAGAGATCAGATGGAGGTAAGAAGCCCTTGTGAATTTTAGAAACCCTCTTACACAGCTGCTCAGTTTTAAGTGTTTTTCTATTTGTACCGTGTTTTACATTTTTTGGCTTACTAATGTCCCCCTTCCTTGACACCAAGATTCATTTCAAAAGTTTTAAGTTTCGCTGTGACCTTTGTATTCAAATGTTACGCAGGTGTGATAAGGTCATATTTTATCATTTTGGCTTCCTTCAACTAACCAACCATTCAGTATTTCCAAATTAATCCAGAAATATAAATTCCCCACCATTGTTTAACCCTGTTTATGGTGTAGATATCTTTTGCCACTGTAAGTTTTGCTTAAAAAAAACATTTTCTCTAAACCATTTTTTAAAATGGTAAAGGTGCATCTGGATCTCCATCTTAACTCTACCTTAATTCTTCTGGTTATCAGATTTAAGTTGGTTTATTTTGTTTTAAAGCAGCTTCTCTACATTTTAACACATTTTTTTAGCTTTTCTTTTCAAATACAGCTGCCTGTCAAACTACAATATTGACCACTTTAGCATAAAATCCCTTTGATGTGAGTCAAAAGGAAATTTAGAGAAGAACACAAGTTTATTTTTTCATACATGAATTACTTTCCTATCAGGATAAGTGCTTTCAGGCTGATAAAAATTTAAATAACGGGACAAGACATCATATAGTTAACAGAAATACAGACTTTAATACAGAAACATTACTTGAGGAAATATTTGATGGTTTAAAGTTATTAGTGTTTAAATATAGTAGTTTAACAATGAGTTTAACAATGAATCAAAGCCTGAAAAAGGAAAGAGCTACTCATTGTAAGAAGTATCAGCCTTTTAGTGTATTAAATTCTGTCGTGCAAAAAGGAATATTAAATAGTAGCACCAAATTTGTTTTAGAGGTATTCCCATTTTCTTTGAAATGTGGAGCACAGTTCAGAGTGATTTTTTTTCATCTACAAATGTGCTGCAACAGCCCTTCGCTAGCTTCAGGGTCCTTAACCGTAAATTGATTTTTCTTTCTGATACAATTCCCCTTTTTTCCCCCTTAATAACTGAAAAACGAACAGTGTAAGGGTTTTGGTTACGTGCTCTTGTGGACTGTCTGTTCAGTTTTCTTTGTGCTGCATGACATAATCACTAGCAGAGTAAGAGGAAGTGCACTTCACTCTTCTTTGTCAAATGGGCTGGGTGAGTCTCGTTGTTTCGGCACACTTCATTTTAAAAGTCTGTTTACACCCCCAGGCTTGTTGGGCAGTGGTTAGCAGCACGGATTGTGCAACTTTGCAAATATTGCAAGGTTACGCAGTCCTGTAACACAGCGTGGGCTTTCATACCTCCCCTCCCCTTTGGTTCTCCACTGACTGGCCTGGGGCTTGGTGTCGGGGTTCCTGGCATGTGATCTGTGTCTGTCTCTCTCCCTGCAGCCCCATTGACCCAACCAGCTCGCTGCTTGAGGAAGTATCGAACCCGGACCTCAAGCCCCCTCCTATACTCCTACCCCAATGACATTGTGTTTGATTTTGAGCCTGGTCCTGTGTTTCGAGGTAGCTAGGCCTTTGTGTCACATGCTCTCTTCCTGTGTTTCGCCCTCACTCGCACACCTGCTACGTATCTCTCACATTCACGCTGTTTTAGAGGACCTCAAGGCAGCAGGCCCTTTTGCTTGAAAAGCACAAGCAGAGTAAGGTGCGTGTTTGCCGGAGAGAAACTGGATATGGCTCCCTTGGATTGCCCGTGGTTTCACGACAGGACAGGAAACTTGAACAGAATGTTGGTAAATGGCAGTGAAGTGGCAGATTGAAAATAATGAATAATTTTGGCAATTCTTTAACTGTTAAACCGTGGCACTTACAGTATTTTGCTTAGTGCCACATCAATTTTTTTAAGCAATACATATTTATAGTTGTGGAAGTGCAGCGATTCGTGTTGTGAAGCTAGTTTTTACTGAGGAATATAATAGATTGTGGGGTTTTTTGTACAAGGGTAGTGTGATTTGCGGTGTTTGTTTTGCCTTTGCCTTGTCTTAGATAATAGTTTTGTTTTTCCGTAGGCTTTTTTCAGTAAACAGTTCAGTTTATTACAGATTGCTGTTTAAAGTTAAAAAACATCGTCTGTGCATATTCTCCTCTCATTAAAAAAATTTTGGTGGTGAATAGGATTGAAGAGGAAGATTTCGAAGACAAAATTAGAAACTCGAGTTCTGAAATTTGGCTGGTTTTAGTATCTCTTGTGATTATGACAGTCATGTTGGATTTAACGTTTGGAGCTGCTTTACTGCAATATGTATCCTGGCAACAAAAAAGGAGGACATTGCACTTAATCTACAGTGACCTAGGGACATAACAGATACCTGTTATTTCTTCTTTTGTTCACTGACCTAGGGACTGGACATTACAGGAAAACTAATTTGAAAAAGAAAATCACGTTGTAATAAGTCTGATTTTGAAAAAAAAAACATTTTTAAGACTTAAATCAAAGAGATTTAGGTCTTAAAAATTGAATCCAGTGTTACTCTGCTAATAGATTAGAGGACCAGAGAAAAACGTTGCGAACAGTTGCGGGGTGTCAGCTTTTCCCAAGGTAGATCTTTTCTCTTTGCGTTCTTTGTACTCCGACAAGATGAGTAGCATCTGTCTCCTTGCTTGCGTAGCCCCGGTGGACTTTTCACCTGACCCAATACTCTGGAGCTGTGTGCATGTGTGAGGGTGACCCGCTCTCCACAGAAAGAGAGACAACACTGCTGTTTTCCTCGCCCACGCCACCTCGGAGCCACTTGCCCTGCCCTGTCACACTGCATGCCTGCGTGTAGCTCTGTGCCTCCGTGTCATGAGAGCAGACCTGACACAGATCGCCTCTGCTCACCTGCCGTATCTGGGCCACCTGTTTCCCGTCATCTTTTCTGTTTTTGTTTCTCAACCACCATAGGGTCCACCACGGGACTCTCGGCCACTCCCCCGGCCTCTCTCCCAGGCTCTTTGACGAATGTGAAAGCGCCACAGAAATCGCCCGGTCAGCAGAGGGAGCGCAAGTCCTCCTCGTCTTCTGAAGATCGCAATAAAATGGTGAGCAAAGGCCCTCCGTGCGGAGTTGGGGAATGTTTTAATGCTGTATAAGAAAAAATACAGCGAAATACCCTTAAATTAGAGGAGTGATTCCTCCATAGATTGAGTGAAGTACCTCTGCTTGCCCACTCCCTATGGCTTGCCTTCGGTTCAGTGCATCGCCCGAAAAGCCTGTCTGTAAAATGTAATGTATGCTTGCCCATATCACACCCTTTAAGTCCTGTTTGTGCATCTCTCAAGTGCGTGTTAGGTAAAGACACGTGCCCTGAGTCTTTAAAAAGCACTACAGACCACGGTATGAAAAGGACACTCGGAGTTTAAGGTGGTTATCAGATCGCTGGTGTAGCAATCACAGCATGTTGAGTAAGGCTACATGTTTAGTTTTGTAATGTGTTTAGGAAAGTTGTAAAATGAATAGACTTTTAAAGTACCCCTTAAAAATGATAAATGTGCGTGTTCTAACAAAGAGAGCTATACATAGTTACTGTTGAAGGCACATACCAGATATTAATAAGTTGTTATAGGTTGTTGACACCAAACCTACCAATAAGAAATATAAGTTTACCCATTTGTTCTTGTATAAGGGTCAGTGGAAACTGCAAAGCATTCTCATAAAGCTTTTTGCCTCGTCAGAAAACCCTGGGTCGACGGGACTCCAGTGATGACTGGGAGATCCCCGAGGGGCAGATCACTCTGGGTCAGCGGATAGGCTCCGGCTCTTTTGGAACTGTCTATAAGGGAAAGTGGCACGGTAAGGAACTGGGGTGTATGGAAAGACTCCTAATTAGATCTAGGGGGGCATCTGCACTTGCATATTTGAGATATTCCTAGTGGTATATCTTCTGCCTGCTCTACTGTTGAGTGTTTGGTTGCCAGAGATCTGTTTGCTGAGTGTGCAAGAAGCGGGGATCTCAACAGCTCTTCAGTAATGGAAACGACTCCAGGACTGAAGGAATCCCTCCATACTTTACATTGTCAGTGCTGACCCTATATTCTTCACTATGGAGTCCCACAGAGAGGACAAGGAGGTTAAATCAGGAATGTTAATGTTCCTGATTTAACAAGTGATGAAGTCACCAAACATGGTTACTGTGGCTAGTGGCTATACTTGTAATGCACATACATTTACAGTCATCTGTTGTTGTGATTTGAAGTGAGCTGATCTTAATGTGCTGAGCAATTAACAGTTCACTTGTTTTTAATCTGTAGATAACTCAGTTTGGAGTGTAAGTTTAATGGGATTGTCTGAATAAAACGGTGATGAACTGAATAAAGGAAACAGAGATTCCACTGGAGACTCCTGTGGTTGAGGTTGTTTTTCCATGTCTGTTGTAGCCTCTACAGTATTTCAAGTGCCTCGAGTATCGAAACACAGTTTTCTGTTGTCTCTGCAGGGGATGTGGCTGTGAAGATGTTGAATGTGACTGCTCCCACTCCTCAGCAGTTGCAGGCTTTCAAGAATGAAGTGGGAGTTCTGAGGTAAAGGGCATAACTACCTGAGGACTTTCCTTAAATGTTATGTGCTGTACAGATGATCACACTGTCTGAAGGGCAGAGTGCAGGTTAAAAAGTTATTCTTTCTTGTTAATTTTAGAAGGTACAGAGGACTTTATTCACCAGATTGGGGAAAATGCAATGTACAGTACACTCTGGATTTTCTGATACCCTTGGTGAAATAAGAACACAAAACAAAACACACATAATAGAAGGATTTAAAGATTTCATTTTTCTGAAGATTGGATGATCTGTCTTACTTAAAAAAAATCTAAAAGTTGTTTGTTAGAGGTAGGAATGCAAAATGGTGGTGAGAGTGCAATTTCAAAGGAAACTGGCACAGTGGAGATTTTTTCTTAACGCGGAAAATTAGAAAAAAAGCTTGTTGGTTCTGTGGCTCAATTGTTTCTTTAAAAAAAAACCTTCCGTCTTGAAACCATCAAAGTACTTGGGGCTACCAAGGCTAAAGTTTCTGTCTTCCACAAAGTAACGGGGTGTACCTTCCATCCAGTTTAACTTCCACGCACCTACTGAAGAGACCACTATCATTTTAGAGATAATTGCAGCTGCTGCTTGCCAAGGCAGTAACTCGCAGCAGCTGTGGTCTTCCAGGTAAGAAATAGCTGACTCCCCGTCACAGTGTTATACTGTCATCTTAATACCTGGACACAGAGCAAAATCATATCTGTCACAAATAATTCCAGAAGACACGAGGGTCACGTTCTGTTGATGCCGCTGTGGTTAACATTCTGTAAATCATCTTCCTGCAGGTATTACACTTATATGACACTCCCCTCGGTGTGCTAATGTTCTAGCACTTGGAGGGATAATCGTCTTGATCATTCCTCCAGGCAGAATTGCACTTGGTCATTCAGACCCTTTGGTTTAAATTTGTGAACCGACTTGTTAAGTTCAAGCTACAAATATTCAATTGAATTGAGGTCTGGAGATTGAGACTGAGCCCATTTATTTTATGTGTAGTCATATTTTTTTGTCACTTACGCTTTTTATGTATGCTTTGAATCGTTTTCTTGCTGGGATGGCCAGTTTCACTCTAGCTTAAGCTTCTTGGCAGAGGGAACTGGGTACTTGGCCAAAATGTTGCTGTTACATGTTAGGCGTTCTTAATTTTCATCTATCTTCACAAATGCTTCTAGATCCATAGACACAAAACAGCTCCAAAATATGATATCCCACCCTGCAGTACTTCATAGTTGGAAACAGCACTGGACAGTGCTAAATGTAGCTTTTTATGGATTCTTTTATAACCATCCTCCAACTTGTGGAGGTTGACCATTTGCCTGCTATCCAGAGAGCTCTCTGACCTTAGCCATGAATGATGCATGCTGCTACTGAATGTCTTCTATATATCTCCTATTTTTAGAAACATGAATCCTACAGAAGCCGTTATATATTTCCAGAGGCTTCTGTGGAGCAAAAACTTGTGACTCAAGTTTTCTGAAACTTTTATTTATAAGAAATATGACTGTGTTCTCTTATGATTTCAGTAATCAGTTTTTCGATTTTCATCAAGTAACATCATGTATTTCATATCATATTGTGTTATCTTCATGTGAACTTTTTTTGTTCCCAGTTCACTGGAGACATGAATACAGTAAATCTAGAGGCCACCGTGTATGTGGTAGCACTTCTAAAGCATTTGTCAGGGAGACCTTCGTGGCTGTTTGTCATTTGTTTGAGTGTGTGTGTGACTTTTTTCATCTGTGTTTGAAAAGTGGGGGATTATGATTAGTGCTTTCTAATAAAAGCCTTCCTTAGAAATACCCTTCAAAATGATACAGATATTTCTTAAGTTTGAATTCCTGTAGTTCTTTAATATAGCTTATAGCACTTAGAGAAACTTGGCAGTAGAGCAGGGACTGGGGCGACCTGTTGAGCAGTTATAGTCCCTTTTCCACTGGTGCACCTGTATCCAGGATAGTGGCTAGGAAGCTGAGCTGTAAGCTTTGTAATTATTTCTTCCCAGAGTTTTTCACCCTTATTTTTCTTCACTCCTCTCCACAGAAAAACACGGCACGTGAACATCCTGCTCTTCATGGGCTACACCACCAAGCCTCAGCTTGCCATTGTGACGCAGTGGTGCGAGGGCTCCAGCCTCTACCACCACCTGCACATCATTGAGACCAAGTTTGAGATGATCAAACTGATTGACATTGCACGGCAGACGGCACAAGGAATGGAGTGAGTAGCTGAGCTTGGTTTCTGTTCCTGTTCCTCTGTTCTTCCTGGCTCACACAGTGTGACCGATTTTCTCTTACGTCACTCAGATTTCATTACACTCGCCTGACCTTTTAAAGAGAAACTCTCAGATGGAAACATAGGCTAGTTTGTTTTTTTTATCTACACTTTGTGGCATGAAACTGAAGGCCCATTTGCAGATGCATGAGTGGTCTTTGCTTTGCTGGTCTTAGGCTATGTGGTATTTATCATGGGATGTTTTCAAGTCTTTCTTACTTTTTATCCCAGGTAGTGACAGATGAGTGCTAGTGGTTTGTTGTCACTAAGAAAAAGTCATTTGAATACAATTATTAAGTAAAATATTATCTTGCATTTATAATTCTTTTTTTGTACCACAAATATTGTACATAAATGAGTATTGCATTCTTAAAGAATTACAAACCGAGGCATTAAAAACACATATACTCCTTTGTTTCTTTTTAAACGCAATCTCAGTACACCTATGAGTCCTGTTAGTATTTTTGAAAGTTTGCTTTTTCTGTGAATTATAGTATTTAAGAATGAAGCTACTTGTGGGGTTAGACTAAGGCGTGGTATTGGATGAAGTGGTGTAGAAAACAGACAGATGGAAGAATGAATCTGAGAGAAAACAGAAATTGCCAAAAATTAGTCCCATTTCTTTATCATCCAGTTATATTCCATGGCAGCATGACAACAATACAGAATTCCTTTGATGTTTTTTATACAACCTGAAACTCTATAGGGATTACCTGTCACCCAGTCAGCTAGTGTGTAGTGTTATTGATTTTCATTATTTAAATTGATTTTAAGAAGTTATCTTTTTTCTTGCTTTGTATAATTCTATATTAAATATGTATAAGTGGCTAATGAATGAGAAAAATATTATGTAATAATAAATGAAAAGATAAATCTGTTGAATTTCCAAATCACATTCTTCCGTAGATCTTTTCATATATATTTAAGGTGCATTTAACCATTTTATTTCTCAAATCGCAAATTTGATGTGTCATTAGTATGTTGTAACAATGTTGCAACCTAAGTTGCAGGCTGAGCTTGATCTGAAAGTTGTTTTGCCTTTTTTTTTCCAGCTATTTGCACGCTAAGTCCATTATTCATAGAGACCTAAAGAGCAACAGTATCCTTTGCCTTAAGTGGTTTGAGTGAAACTGTAGGTTGGTGGTTTTTGTTCTGCTTTAAAACCTTGTTGCTCTTCACACCATTCTCAAGAGAAGTTTTTTATAATAGGGAGAAAGGAGAGAGGGCCAAAGTTTGCCAGTACCTCTGATAAGGCATTTATTATTTCTTTATTCCAATTTGTGTATGTGAATAATGAATCCATTGTTCATAGCACTTCAACACTCCAATTAAATTGCTCCCGTGTGGTTGAGGTTTAAGTGAAAGCACCATCTGTAGTGCGAATGGTGCAGCTGTACCAAAACAGTTATAATGAAAACATGCATGGAACATAACAAAACAGATAATCACAGATAATCCGGTAAGGTAATTTTACAGCGGACTTTGAGATCACCATCTCCTCTTAATTTAAATGAGAAATTGCAAATGCGTAGTATTACTCGCTTTACTTCCCCTTTTTTAGGAGAAAGGTGCACTTCATAAGGTCTCCCTTTCTTTTATGCAAAGTTCTCTTTGAAACTATTACATTACTGTGTAATGTTATTAGTAAAGGGAGAGAAATGGCGGATATTAAGCTGTATCTGAAAGTGTAGTGGAATGAACTGAGCTGTGCTCAAAACTACACTAGAAAGAAAAGATTAATTCTTAAAGAAGAGCTGTAGAGTGAAATTTTCAAAATCTTTGCTTGATATTCTTTGATATTCAAGATGTTGTGATTTCAACTTTACTGGAAAAGAAAGGCCCTTAATGACCTCTTTCCAGACATTTTCCTCCATGAAGATCTGACAGTAAAGATTGGTGATTTCGGGCTGGCTACTGTGAAGTCACGGTGGAGTGGTTCACACCAGTTCGAGCAGCTGTCTGGGTCAATCCTCTGGATGGTGAGTACTGTGAAGTATTGTCTCTGTGTGGATCCCTCATAAGATAAGATAATACAATACAATAAGATAATACAAAGATAATAGAATTTGTTTTTTTCACATACCCTGACCTTGCTTTCCATGACACACAAACAGGGAGAGAAGCTTGGGGTCAGAGCAAAGGGTCAGCCATTAATCCAGCCCTCCCGGAGCAGTTGGGGTTAAGGGTCTTGCTCAGGGGCCCAATGAAGTAGGATTCCTCTGCTAGCCGCAGCAGCTAATACAGCAGCCTTTTGATTTTGTTATACGACAGTGTACCTCAGGCGATCATCTCAGGGAGAAGTCATGGAAGGATTTGATACTTTCTTGGAGCTATTGAAGTGCATGCAGGGCATTGATCCTGTAGTTCGCCAGATTGGACAGGATCTTTACGATCCAGTTGGCCAGTGCTTTACGAGTTCCAACTACCTCGCCCATATGGCCAGGTTTGTTTTCAAACCATGCAGGTAAAAAACAAATTTATCAGTAGGTCCTCATCACCATTGCATTTATAGGATTTGTTTGTCCCTTAAATGTGTGAAATAAACTCAGTCCAGATGCACTTCACCCAGAGGCTTTATTCTTTTTCCGAATTTGATTGTTGACTGTGGCTTTTGTGGGCTGAGCACAGCATGTGTCTGTGATAATCATCAACATCAAAATATTAAAAGGACTCTGTCCTAGAAAATATCCAGGAGTGTGCCACTAAACAGCTGGACCGAAAGGAATGAACTGTAATGAACGAGTAAAATAAATAAACTTTAACTTTTGTGAGTGTTCTGTAAGGACTTGTTAGGTTGAAGTTTTTAAAATCATGCAAGAATGAACAAAGCTGTTTCAAGCAGATATTACATAGTTCTGCCTCTCAAGGACAGTGTGGTCATAAGGTGTTCTTAACGCGAGTCTTTTGTTCCCTAGTTGAATTTTCTTCGTTCCATTGGAGCCAGTTTGACAGTTTTCTAGGTGTAATCTGTTGGTGGTGCCTTACTTGAACACTTCAGCACAGCTGGACACCGCTAATTTAGCAGCAACACAGGATTTGAAATTGAGTAAAAATAGATTCTGAACTGAGATGCTAAAACCTTCAAAATCATAATGTTGGACGGCTGTTTCCAAGACACACACCCATGAAACCAAAACACTGGGCCCTTCAAGAACCTGTCAGATTTAATGGGACCACTTAAATGAAGGATTAGTAGTCTTGACTTCATCTGCTATTATGTTTAGTTAGTGGTTAATGTTAGTAGCAAATGACAGTTCTCATAGAAATCGGTGCCATCGTAAGCAGTTGGATGTTCTCAGGGTCCTTGTAGTTCTGTTTTCTAATCCTTAACATGACTGAGTGCAAATAACTGCCCTCTATTTGGATGCTTTGCTTCCAGGCACCAGAAGTGATCCGCCTGCAGGACAAGAATCCATACAGTTTCCAGTCCGATGTTTATGCCTTTGGCATTGTGCTTTACGAGCTCATGACGGGACAGCTGCCCTACTCCAATATCAACAATAGAGACCAGGTGAGGCATAGCAGCTCACAGAGATTGTTGGGTGCTCATTAAATGTTTTGAACAAGGAGAGTCTACCGAGGGGCTCTGTGATCAGAGGTTCAAGCCTGGGTCGTGTTACTGACTGACAGTAACTAAGTGACTGACATTTGCTGGGTGCACTGAGGGTAAGGTGGTGCTAGTTGGCCAAGGGTGCAGTCTCCCGACTGCTGCAGGCTCTTCTCCAGGATGAGGCTGTGTTGCCTGTGAACTGATTAAATTTGAGTGGCTCAAAGGTGGGTGGCTCGGAGTAAGCTGTCCACATTTCCTCATTCTCCCCTGTGTGCAGTTGTGGGGTTTGTACACACGGGCCAAGACTTTTAAAAACCACATTTTCCAAACAGAGAGGTTATAACAAAAACACGATTGATAAACAAAACTTAAATAAAATTGGTATATTTTAATCCCCATTTAAGATCCCATGTTTTTTTTGGGAAGCTTAGAAACCTGAGTTTTATTTTTATCATGTAACTCGGTTTGGTGTCGGCAGTTGTGTCTGTACATCGTGGGTTGCAGACACAACCCCTTCTCCTATTCAGGGTGACTGAGGAAGCATAGACTCTGACTTGCACACACATCACACTGCTCATCTTTAGGCTCATCGCAAGCTCTGCAGTGATATACAGGAGCGCCAGCGGAAATCGCAAGAATGGCTGTTTTGCTGGGACCAATGAAAAGCCCAGGCAATCAATCCCCAACCTACCTTTGGCAAAGCTGAACCACTCATGTCCAGATTCCTGGACATGAGGGCCTAATGACATGACCCAGACTCGTATGAGTTTGACCCTACCTTTCATAACAAGTGTGACCCTTAGATGACTTTTTTTTCCCCCTCTTTTAACCTCAGATTTCCAAAACATCATATCATGTATATATAATATCTTGTTTGAATGATAGACTTTACTCGTGAAAAGAATGACATATGTCCTTTTATTAACCCAGTTGAATGTCCAGGTAGAAATACAAAATGAAAATAATTGTAGCTCTTGTTATTAAACGTAATAATTTTATGTAGCAGTGCCGTATTTCTTTTCATACCTCAAGACGTTCTTCAGATAACATGAAGTTGTTAACATTGTTGAATCCCAAACCTTGCACCAAATGTACTGTATTTGAACCACTGCGTTACCAAGAACAGAAAAAAAAAGCTGTGGGTGCTTCCTTCATCAAGACCTGACTAAAGTAAGGCTGGATTAAAAGATATAGGACAGAGATAAGCCAATAATGAAATAAAGTATACAATTTTAAATATCCTTTTACACTCAATCACATGTGATTAGACATGCTCCTACATTAACAGAAGGGGGAAGAAATGCTGAATTCTATAGACAAGACAATCTCAAAATCTGCAGGTTTTTTGTGGATGATGTTTATCAGTGTAGTACATCACCCCTTTTCCTTCTGGTGGAACAGGTCGAGCACTGAAGACTCTCCTCTGTTTCAGATTATTTTCATGGTGGGGAGAGGCTACTTGTCACCAGACCTCAGTAAGGTACGTAGTAATTGTCCAAAGGCAATGAAGAGGCTGATGGCAGACTGCTTAAAGAAGAAGAGAGAGGAGAGGCCTCTATTCCCACAGGTAAGAAACTTAGAAATATGGCTTCGTTTCCTGCTAGCTTGCAGTTGCTTTATGAATTATTTACTCCTAAATGTTGCTTAGTTCTCTTAATTTTTTCCTAATGTTTTCGACAGTAGCTTTTGTTCCTTTTCCAATTCAAACAGAAGTTTCAAGACGACAGAAAAGCATCTTTTGACAAGTTCAGAAAGTTCAAAAGCTGCCTCACTTTTTGCCCTTTTCAGTTCACTTAAAAAAAACTATCACAACGTAACTCGCATTTTGTTTGGCCTTCCTGCTTTCCAGAGTAAATTGGAAAATATTTTTTTTTCTTCGAAATAAACCAGCAAAGTTATTTATAGACACCAAGTTAAGATGACACTGCAGTCCAACCAGACAGTTTAAATATGAGAGCAGTTTGGAATTGGGCAGTGCTATATCTGTGGATACTGTCATGTCTTTACAGATTCTAGCCTCTATAGAGCTCCTGGCTCGCTCCTTGCCCAAAATCCATCGCAGCGCCTCTGAGCCCTCCTTGAACCGGGCTGGCTTCCAGACTGAGGACTTTAGCCTATATGCCTGTGCCTCGCCTAAGACGCCCATTCAGGCTGGGGGCTATGGTGAGTTTGCCACATGATAAGCATGATAGTGTGCTGTCCATAAAACGTGTAGAATACCAAAATGATGTGTTCAACTTGTGTGAAATCTTCAACAAAGGCAAAGAGCACTTTACAGGTGAAATTTGTGAGAAAGCCACTTTGGTTTTGTTGCCACAAAAATTCAGTGAAGTGTAACTCCATCCCATAATTAATGCTTTGTTGTAACAATTGTAACTATTAAGACTTGATTAATCTACAATGATTAGCGGTTTATATGGTCTACAAGGTTATCATACAGATTAAGTCTCATAATGTGCATGATTAATTAGGTATAGAATTGTATACTCAGTCTGAATGTAATTTTGTATGTAGAAGTCTCAAGAATTTAAGAAAAAATGTGCCCAGCTTCTTTCTTGCACAAAATCAAAGCAGTTGTTTCAGCTCCCCCAGCTAATAACACACTTCAGGATTCTTCAATTTTGTGGGCGCAGGTTTGACCAGCTGTGCTTTTGTTTGTAGCACTGTTTTCGTAATATTTGCCTTGGCAATGAATGCTGTATCAGTAAGCTGGTTTGGCTGAGCAAGCTGTCCAAGGTGGTTATGTAAATGTCCTTTGGGACAGATTTAATGTGATGTAGTGGTCCTGAATCTGCAGTACAGAACACAGAGGAAGATGCATTTTTGTTAATATTGAATAATGAGATGCAGTCTGTAAGAAGTGCTGTCCACATTCAATACACATTATTTTTAGCAGAAGAATGTATTATTTCCAGCGTAAACGTTTGGAATAAAATGTTGGAACATGTTATTTGAAAAGGGAAATCCTTTCAGCTCATTGTGCTCACGTGATGCCTTCAGACTAGAAGGAGTTTCACTATCATAGATTAAAGGTGATTTCTGACTCATGAGTGGTGTACCTATTGAGAGACAGCAGAACAGGACAGGTTATAAAATTCTCAGATTCTGATTGAAACCAGGCAATCCTCGGACCTTAATAGGAAATCCCACTTTTATCATGTTACATTCTAAGCGGACATAGGATTGGGCAGATAGAGTCAACAGGAGCATCCTATGTTTTTACTTCTGCATTCTGTTCTTAGGGATTCCTACCAAACAGGGTGTTACATGTGAATGGTGTCTGTCCTCAGGGTGGCAGTAAATGAATAAGTATCAGAACTGGATATCTGTAGGAGCCTTGGTTTGATCTTCAATCCAGCCATGTTAAGTTTTACTATGTCTTTTAAAACAAATTTAGCTGGAAGGATTCCAGGATAGTACTCGCATTTGTTTTTAAACTGATCCTTCAAGAAGAAATGTCAAAACAGCATTTCTCTTGTAAGCATGCCGTGTATTAGGTCTCTGGAAATTCAGATCTAAGATTTCTTTTTTGCTTTTTGTCTTCAACAGGAGAGTTCACAGCATTTAAGTAGCAGATCAGATTCCACCAGTACATCACTTGTCACTTTTTAAAAGTCTTGTGTTCCTACAGTGGGTTCATCCATTTAAAAATTAGTTACAGGAATGTGCTTTTTTCCTCTCAATCTGAAGAACAACAACTGTGCTTAGCAAAGCAAACAATCTTAACTTCTGACGAAAAAATCACAGCTATAGAAACGATTTAAAAAAAAAAGCTAAAGTAACATAACGCAAAAATGACGACGCTAAACAACACAAACAACGTAAAAGAAGTTGTGGAAACCCCATAGGAGACAGAAATCCACGCAGATGGTCTCCCTTCGGAAAACCTGAAACCAGAAAGGAGGGAAGAAGGGAGGAGGAAACCGGAAAGGAAGGATGGAGTGCAGCTGTGGCAGAGGAGCTGCCACACCTTGGCCTCCCCAGGGACTGGGCGAGGTGGGATACAGAACGGGATCTGCACTTTGTCACGAGGCACTGGAGGGTGATAAATGGAGTAGCCAGCGCCGGCTGCTGATTGGCTGGAATTGGCTGGCAGGCCTGCATCACATCCAATCCCTGCGCGGCGCTGGTGGACACAGGGTCAGCCCTGCTTAAAGATGACTTGAATGATTTTTTTTTTGTCTTTTTTTGTTTTTGTCGTGTGGGGACTGGTCTTAAGGGGGAAGGGCTGGCGTTTTGCGTTTTTCGCTTGTCTTGTGCTCGGAAGGGAACCGATGTCGTTGAAAACTTTATTGGAGAGAGTCGGTGGTGGGATGGGGGGGAAGCGGGGAATTCCTAGTACATTCCTCTCGAGTTTAACCTGCTGGGCTTCTCCATGATGCCCTTGAGAAGCTACTTAAGAGATTTAACAAACGTGGTTGAGGTGAACCCATTTCTGCTTCATCTGTCAGGCTTTCCAGCACACGTGGACACCTTTTTATGTTGAATACACCTAACACTCCCATAGATTTCCTGGATTCCCTTGTACCCTTGAACCCTGGCTGAAACAGTGAGGGTAGTGGAGGATAACAGTGTTCTTGGGAATATATGTCCACATTTTCTGCTCCAATTTCTGTAAAAACAGGGTAATTGAAAAGAGTGACAGAAAATGGATGGACATGTGAAGAGTTAGTGATCCCAGGGTTTAGGTGTCACTTTTAAACCAGAAAAACCAGGTTAAAGGAGTGAAATGACTTTATAGGATGCCTTGGCTACCTAACAAGCCTCAATTCCAGAATTATGAGAAAAATACATATTGCCTTCTTAGGACAACTTACTGCAGCCGGTAGTGTTCGGAGGTAACATGAAAGAACATTTTCCTGTTGGCCAAGTGTTCTCCTGAAGTAAATCTGACTGAGATGTTGTAGGTGTTGTAGGCCGGAAGGAATTAAGCAGGGAATGTTTCATTGGTTGTGTTTTACGTCTAAAGGCATCATAACACTCTGTGCCATAACTCCACATGAAGCTGCATTATTTCATTTAATGTATGCTTTATTTCTTGTGTGCTTTCTTTTCTTGTGAACAGTGTTCTTTTTGTGGTATATGTGTGTGTATTATTGATGACTGTTTTGAATTTATTCTACAAGAAGTTTGGTTTCTAAATCAGCTCTGTGCTGATTAACGAAAATATAATAATTGTTTACCTAAGTGATATAAAAAAATCACAGTGAAAAACGATATGTTTGAAGTTGGAAAAGTGTGGTCACTGCAGTATATTTGCTTAAAACACATACAGTAATAAGTTACCTACTAAAAACAATGTCAGAGCTAGGAGGTTCTGAATCTCAAATATATTAAAGCTCTGGTTTGTTTTTTAATCATATACACAGTTGGCTTCTTATTCCACAGATTATTTTAAAGCTTATAACTATTATTTAAGAAATATTTTTGCTACGGTGTTTTTTTTTTGGACAGGCAGGCCTGGAATGTCAGAATTATTTATGTAAAATTTTATTGCTCTGTTTTTTACTCTTTTTGTCTTTAGGTGCTGAAAAAAGTACTTCAGAGACATTAGCTCATTTGCACTTTTCATTGGTAATTGGTCCAAGCAGATGCAGAAAAATAATAAAAAGTGCTGTTAAAGCTCAAATCAAAAACGATTCAGGCTGAGACTACAATTTAAGACTACTTAAATTGTTTTGAATCACAACTCGAAGAACACTTCCCTTGACTGGGTGCTACACTTTGATTCAGTGCTTGTTTACACCAGTCACCGGTGTCCCTTGCTTTACTAAATATTATCGAACACAGTCCCTCTTTTCTTACAAAGCCCCAAATGTTCTGCTGTTTCCCTTTCAGTAGGTGGCAGTGTGAGCCCTCGTTACATAAAAACACATTTCATTTGAAATAGAAAAACTCCACAAACCAAGGCTAATTTATTTCAGATCTGTTCATGGATGGCTGATGGACGTGTTTATTGGATGTGAACTTTTAGAGATTAAGAAGCTAGGAGGATTGGTAATAGATACCGAGTTAACCGCATTTTGTAAGATTTAAGCATAAGGTTAAACTGAAATGTGTATCTTATTGTGACCTGAGATACCCCACATTAGTTCAGCTCACTACAGGGAGGTGAAAGCAGGGGACTTGCATATGCTGGTTGATCCCTCTACAGTGTAGCAAAACAAAGGGAATGTTTTAAAACCATTGCCATCTAAAACCTACTTTTCTAAACACTAGTAGAAGTCTATCAAGACTCCAGGCAGCCATGAGAAAAGACTAACAAAACGGTCTTAGAAAATGTACAGTCCATGACAGTCCCACAGTACCTACAGAATAACCCAGCTGAGGTGCGTCGAAACGATTAATATACCTTAATAGTTAAGAACATGAAACCACTGGGATTAAACTACTGGGAAAATGTAAGACATTTGTACTTTACTTGAGGAAAATTGGTGCATTCTTTATACAATTGCAGATTTTTTGTGAATGCATCTTTCTATTTGGTGAAACATTGGAGTGGGATCTCCTGCCACATTTCTTGTGAATGTAATGATATATATATATTTCTGGAGGAGAAGTTAGATGAAGGCACAAGTGTTTTGTGCACCCAATGTTCAGGGGTGTCCAGGTGAATGAAGGCATCTTTTGCAGTTGAACGAGCCTGTTGTGGGAGGTGTACATCCCATCAGTTACTTAAATATCAGAGAACACTTTATGTGTTACAGGGACATGGCAGGCAATTGAAGTTTATAACTCTACATCCTGTTGCTTTTATACCTTATTTCTGCTCTCAGAGGGTTTGGTTAGTCTTTTTAAGACCATGCCAATAATCGTTCTTTATGGGAGGGGTCTCTCACAGGGTACTTATGCTTATTATCTTTATAGAAGATAATAAAATAGGAGTATATGAAGTACACCATGTGAAAGGTCTTTCTTGCTTTCAAGGCTGGATTTATCCAGTATCCCTCAATATGAATTTCCTTCTGCATGTGGATACAGGTTTCACACTTGTTTTCACTGATAAGAACTTACTGCAGTCTGGTGTCATAAATCTCCAGATTGTTTGTGTTTCCTGCAGCACAGACTAGAACCAAGGAGATCAAATGTGGATCCCTAAACTTTATAAAGTTCTTGTTTCTTTATTTTTTAGCCTATGAATTGCTGCCGTTTGTGCTTCTGTGGGACCACACTTAGATTGTATCTTAAGTGTTGCGCATCGTACAGTTTTTTTGGCTTTCAGCGAGCAACCTGTAAAAAGCACATCTTTAGAAGAAAGCATTAATTGCTTGTGGCTTGTTCCCCAGCCTTCCGAAGTGCTCGACACAGTGCATGTACCATCCACTCTGTAGAGCATGATCAAGTGCTTGGCTGCACCTCTTGTGAACACTTTATTTTTTGTTTTTTTGATGATGGGAATGATGAGCTGTCCTTTGAAGCGCAGCGTATATATTACATCCTGTAACCAAGGAGCTTTGTGTAGTGGCAAACCGTGAAATTGCATTCCCCACTATGAGATGCATGTTGAATCTGAAAGTTAGTATGTTAGCTGGTGATCTTATGTGCCTCAAACATAGTACAAACCCTATTTTTGGAATTCAGCAAAGAGAGTTATGTTGTATAGGATATGTAGATTAATGCATCCGCTCTGTATTTTACATTAAAAATGGACAAATTTCGATGGGTGTGAGAAGTCATCCGTTGATGAAGAGTTTGCATGGAAGGTGTTTGTACAATATCACAATCACAGCATTAAATGCCCTGTGGTTAAGGTTACGCAGTAGAGTGAATGAACCTGAGTTCTGAGGTTGCTATAAGACAGATTTATCACATCATCTTAGAGAGGGACTTGCGCGGCATATTTTTGGAACATGGATTCATGGAACACATTTTCAGATTCAGAGCAGTGCTTTATTATATATTGATGAAGCTGCAAGTTCTTCTATAAAAAAAGTGAACTTATGATTCACTTTTTTTTATTTTCCAGCATTTTTACTGTAGCTACAGTGTCGACCTTGTTAGATAAATTGCCAAGTTGCTGATTGGGAGGCATTAGGAGTTTTGGATTAGTAGGTTTATGGCCACTTAACACTTACCAGGAGGCAAACACTTGTTTTTGGTATGCAATGGAGTCTCTTGCTGTGTGTGTGAACCTGGGGAGGTCATCAGGGGGATGCCAGGTTTAGAAATCTGCTGTACTCCATATTGCACTCCTGGCTGCTCTGTCATTTTCACCAACGGTTATGATTATTTATGACGGTTCCCAATTTTTCAAAACATCTGAAAGATCTTTGCATGGATTTTTCCTGATTTTTACATGCAGGACTGAATTACCCAGAATAGCCCTGTCAGGAATTTTTTGACTGAAGCAAGTACGTGCCCAATATTGTTTTTGTTATTTCTGTGTATGCGTATCACAATAGATTGTGGTCAGTTGCCTGTCTGTCATTTTGTTTTTTGTGAAAATTCCAGTGGTGAACTGTGTGGATGCAGATATTGTTTGTATACAAAACTGAACCTAGTGTTTGTTGTGATAGTAGAAGCAGATTCAATGGTGAAGGTCAATGTGCATTCATCTGAAACTTTCAGATTGGGGACAGGTTGGAAATGGATATGATCTCTCTTGCGTGTGTATAATGAAACCATTTACACCAAGACTGTTTCTTTCAAAGCCAGTAAAGTTCATAATATGTCAGCCAGGTCTTCAGTTGTGTTATTTAGAATTCTTGAAAAGGTTTTTGCTTTCATTGAACGAAACCTTGTGGAAGACCATAAAAAAACAGTAAACAGATCTGCCCTTAATTAAGAAGAGGATGTCCCTGACAACTGTTCCACATTCTCCATTAAGCTGGCCTGTTCTTTCCTGTTTTGTTGTAATTTCTCTATACATTTGTCCCTATATTTTTCAGCCTTATCCTGAAAAATCTGCTGGTCTTTGCCTTGGCTTTGTCTTTGTTAAAAGCGTCCTTCTTATATAATGAGTATCAGCTTTAAAAAAAGGAAACACTGGGGTGATTTTTGGATTGAAAGCTGAAATTTGTCTTTATAATGTTACCAATTGAAATACTATGTACTATGTATAAAGAGTTACAGTTTCTTACTGTACCATAAAAATGGTTCTGGTTAATACAAGTCAGGTCCTCAGGGTATTTGTATACTGTTTACTGTTGTCAGTCATTTAGTTGTATGCACACCCTGATTTTTATTTTTTTGTAATGTGCACAATTATTTATATGGAATTCCTGAGATTTGTTTTGTAAATTAAATTACTAAAAATATTCCTCAAGGCCCATTCAGAACTGTTTTATTTTTTTTTTCTTATTTTGAAGGATATTTCTAAATCCATTTGGAAGCAGAAAAAAATGAACTTTTTAGTATTTTCGCAACAGCTTGCCCTAAATTTATGGTTTAATCATGGAGACGTGTTGTAATTTAAATTAATCTTAACTGCTAAATGCAAAGTGGTTTGTATTAAAGTAATATTGGGATACTTGGAAATGCTGCTGAAATACAACACAAAATCTATGGATTTATGGCTAAGTGTTTTATCTTTTGGTGAGAATTACATTCAGCACAAGAGACGATTTGCTGTTTTCATCAAAATAGCTTTCCTTGTTAGTGGTGACAGCTGAAGTACTTGAGGCATTCTGTCACATACTTTAAACTGTTTTGCCATCTGTTTTTGTGCTTTAATTTTCCATCAATTCCCAGAGCATATCGATGCTAGTTGGAGTCTTTTTCACTTTCCTCCTAAGCTTATCACATAGCAAATTTAATGTAATTGGGGTCACCCAACTGGGGAGTCCAGTGTATCAGTTTGAAAACCTGTTGCCGTTTGGTGAGTTGTTTCTATTCTTGTTGACTAACAAACCTCCAGTTTTTCCTCCTAATGGAATTGTGAATTGGTACATTGGCAGTGATAC